ATATTTAGTTTTTTTCATTTAATCTTTTTTTTAATCATTTTTTATAGTATTTTGAACAAAAATAAAATGTTAAAAATTAGTTTCTTTTGTAAAATAATTGATTTTTATTCGAGTTAAGTCAGCAAATTGAGTTTATAATTTTATACTTTTAGTAGGACCAAATTTTTAATAACACAGTCAAACTAGAAATAATAATAATATATTTAATATATTCTACCCATTGTTTTCGAAAAATATCATGAATATTTGAAATATCGGAAAATGGTTTCATGCAACGCTAACCAAAATTGTTTATTGCTATTCAAATATTTTATCCGCTCACGTGTTTTTTTAGAGATATAACCGTTCTATTATTTCCCAAATTACATTGCCATTTGCGTCATACTTTAATAGTACTGTTGTTATATAGTTTGATAAACATTTGTTAAATAATGTATGTTATATATTTCTATATTTTTTGACACATTTGCTTCTAATTTTAGTAATTGTACAAGTTTTTAAAATGACAAACTAAAAATTAGAATTATTTTAGAAAAAAGGGTCTTATCCATACTGAATTATCTGTATAACTTTCATATGTATGCAAAATATTTGATAAAAATAATGATATTATTTTATAATGAAAGGTGATCTCCCAAAAATACTAACACTAAAAGAAATGGCGGAGTTACAAAGCAAACAGGGTAATTATACGTTTTTTTATACAATGTAGAGTAGAATGTGTATATCTAAATAATTAACTTATTTTCAAATATAACTTTAAATATATGCATACTATAGTTTAAAATTGTTTATACTTCTAAACGATCATCCAGTATTAGCCCTGACTACAATTATTGTCGCAATAAAGAACAAATCGTTTACCTAAAGTTTAGACGAGAAATATTAATAATTATCAAATAACTTGTCACATATATTTCAAGATGTATTTGAAAATAAATTTAATTCATTAGAAGAACATATGTTATTCTACATTGTGAAAACAGTATCATACAACAGATAATTAAAGGTTTTTTACAATCACTTAAAGTTAGCAAAACATTAATTTAATTTGCATTACATGTTGGTTTAGATATGGTGGTCCAAATAGGTACACCCTGTATAGTGTAATATAATAGAAATCAGTCTTTATCTTTCTTCGAGTGCTATAATGTGTAAATACAAAAGCAATCCATAAAAATTAAAAATCTTTCTCAGAGACAGTCGAACGAAAAATGGTTTGTCATACATATCTTATAAACTATTTCATAATAATATTAGTTAATTGGAATTCCACATATTTTTCTATATCTATTGTTAAAAATATATTTTCTAAAAAAAAATTGAAATATGGAAATTTTAAAAAGCATATAGTATACTTTTAGATATTTAAAAAGTAATATTTAAAAATGTTTTGAAACATTATAGAGATAAAAGTTATACTAGACCAGATAAGTCTATAAAATTCAATAGGGGTTTAATTTTTTTATGTAAAAGCTGCACTAAAGTACTAAAAAATCGTATAAAACATAATTCCTATTTAAACTCGTTTAATTTGTATTGTTTTAAATACTATTATGACAATTTAAAGTTAGCAAACATTAACTTATATGTATAATTTGTTGTATTATAGCTGGCGATAAAAAGCATTCAGGTATAGTATAGACTAGAGCTACCGATTACACATGTAACACATGTGGTTCGAATTGACGTGTAGAAGTTCGTGTAATTATAAGTACAACTACAAGTATTCTTAAAACTGTAAGTTTTAATAAGACCTCTTATTTACGTAATACTACTCTTTAATTAATGGTTGTGACTAAGATATAGTATTATAGCCATTGGGTCAAGTTAGTGGAATCTAGGGTCCTACAAGTGTATTAATTACACGAACTTCTAAACGTCAATTCGAACTACACGAACCTTGTCCTACATGTGTACTACACAATACACGTGTAGAATCTTCGGTCACAGTATAGACTGTAGAGTTACCTAGTGTGAATCCTTTTCCTAACACTATAAGTTCAAACCACCAGTAATACTCGTACATGAGATGTGTTAATATTTATTTACTGGAATAATTATAGTATCCCTCTTAACAGTTTTAAAATCGTGTAAAAATTTATATTTAAAGCTATTAGTTTCTTACATATTCACTATTAAAAATGTTTTATTATTAAAAATTCTCAAATATATAAAAAATGTAATTTTGTTTGTTAGGATGGAGTTTAGTAAGAAATGGTATGTTGTTCGTCACTTATTACTTTGTTTCATTTAATTTTGTTTGCACAATTGAACTATGGTACCAACAATATTGACGAAGAAAGCTAATTTATCTTGGACATCTTAAATCTGTTGTTCATTTATTTTGAAATGTTCGATTATTAATAGTTCTATAATCGAATATCTTTGAAACAAATTAATCATGTTGTAAAATATATTGTAATTTATTATATTATAATAAAACACATATTTTATGTTCATGTATATTGTGCAATATTTCAAACTTGACAATCAATTAACAGCTTTTAATAAACCCTGTTTCGAAAATGTGACCCACTTTTACTTTAAACTAATTTAGTGTGATATTATTTTCATCAAGTTATATACCTAGGCATAAAGGTTAGCATAGTTGTGCTATTTCGATTAGATTTCATCATTTAAAAATGAGCACTAATTAATTTGGTTTATAATCTTCGTTATATTTTAAAATACCTAATACTTTATTTGCTTAAAAGCTAGCGGATTGGTCGAAATCTTTGGATGTGGAACGCCTAAGACAACAGAAACAACCGACGTTTCGAGCTCTTCCAAAGGTAATAGTTAACTATGTTTTAAAAATAATTATTTTAAATAAAAAAATTAAACGTTATTAATTTGGTGATTCACTTGTATAGTCTTAAAACATAAAATAGCTTCGTTTAGTATTCAATTCGGTTCACTATATTTTGAACTTGATTGAAATTCAAAAACACAGTTTCCGTTTGCGCTGTATAGACGATTGCGTTAGTCGAATTAGCATACGTCCCTTTTTTATATAATGGAATTTATTATTTTCTTCCAAGGAAATTCCTTGACCGCGTCTTGATAATGTCGTACCCATTTTTTATATACTTTAATTTAAATGATATTACTATAAAACACATATTTTATGTTCATGTACATTGTGCAGTATTTCGAACTTGACAATTAATTAACAGCTTTTAATAAACCCTGTTTCGAAAATGTGACCCACATTTATTTTAAACTAGTTTAGTGTTAAGTTACTTTCAACAAATTATGTTCCTAGGTATAAAGGTTAGCATATTTGTGCGACTTCTATTAGAATTTTATCATTTTGTGTTCATTTAAAATTGAGCACTAATTAATTTGGTTTATAATCTTCGTTATATTTTAAAATACCTATTACTTTATTTGCTTAAAAGCTTGCGGATTTCGTGAAACCTTGGGATGTGGAATGCCTAAGACAACAGAAACCACTGACGCTCCGAGCTCTTCCAAAGGTAATAATTACTTATGTTTTAAAGATGTAATTATGTAAATGTAATTATTAATTTTCTTTATACAGTTAAGTTATTTCTTTTTCAATCATTGTCCTTCTTTTAATTCCGTGGTTTTCGTCGAACCCTTTTTCTAACACTATAAGTTCAAACCACCAGCAATACATGACACATGAGATGTGTTAATATTTATCTACTGGAACTAGTATAGTATCCCTCTTAACAGTTCCATAATCGTATAAAAAATGTTATCTTTAAAGCTATAAATTAAAAACGTTTTATTGTTAAAAGTTCTCAAAAAAATAAAAATTGTTTTTTTGTTTTTTAGAGCTTCCTTCGACAAAACTATCAAATAGACTTTGTACATGTTTTATAGGTAGAGGCATTACTTATTTTTAAAAGAGAATTTTTTTTTAAATTAAAAAAGTAATCGTTATTAATTTGATGATTCACTTTTGAAATTTCTCTAATAAATACGAAATTTTTTTTTGTTTTTTAGGCAGTGAGATTTTATTAAAAGATGGTATGTTTTTACAAAAAATATATATATTTGTTTCATTGAATTTTGTTTGTGCAATTAAACTATGGTACCAAAAATATTGACGATAACAGCTAATTTTTCTTGGACGTCCTAAAACTCTTGTTCATTTGTTTTGGAATGTTCGATTTTTTTTGAAACAATTTAATCATGCTGTATTATATTTTTTTAAAACACAACGAACTTGACAAAAAATTAACAGCTCTTAACAGAACTTTGTTTCAAAATTATGACAGACCTTCACTTTGAACTGGTTTAGTGTAATATTACCAGCAATAAGTTATGGACCGAGGCATAAAGGTTAACATAGTTATGCAACTTCGATTTAATTTACACAATCCATGCGTGTGTTATGATTGAAATTCGAAAACGCAGTTGTGTTAGCCCTATAAAGACGATTGCGTTTCGGAGCATCTCTTATTTACGTTTCGGTTAAGTTAAGGGAATTCCTCGACCACGTCTTGATAACGTCGTTGAAACGTTACCTCGCTGTCCGCTGTAATGAAACTTGTCCTCTAATATTACCGTTTTAATTATATTATTATTATTGTCATTATATATTAAAATATTATATTTTGTTATTCATTTTCATATATAATATTAATTTAATATAATAACGTTTTTGTATCGTGTTTAGAACTTGAGAAAGCTCGATATTGTATATTACACCAGTTGCCAACAACGAAGCGTGTCAACTCGAAGCCTTGTCACCATTGTCCTAAACATTTATTAGGTAAACTAACCTAACCGTTATATAGATTGTTACATATACTTATATATATATATATATATATATATATATATATATATATATATATATATATATATATTTAGTTTTTATACTATAAAATATCATTCCTTAGAGGTTTTTTGTAAATACAAAACACAATTAATTTACATTGTTTTTTTGTAACATAGGTAACGTTATACAAACTTATTCTATTTAAGCTATGAATTAATAAAAATTTTTGTTTTTTTAATAGAAAGAATCCCATGACAACAATCCAATTTTGCAGAAATATACCATTAAAAATAAAGATGTAAATAAATATAAATGTAGAAAATTAAATTGTGTAAACTATTACTAAACAAAAAACATAAATTTCATTGATTCATATTAAACTTCATCTATCTGGCAAATTTAAAGTGTATTGTTTTCCTTTAGTGTAAGTTTTCAAACTTGGTTACTATTTTTGCACCCGATTTTATAATTGTAGCTTTGTTTAAGTACAATGTGAATATATCGTTATAGCCTGTAACAACATTTTTCATAATCTCGAAGAAGATTGTCTAGATAAATCGATGGATTAAATTAAGATATAATAATTGTGATTGGACGAGGCGCTTTAAATGTGACATATTATTTTTAAACACTCGGTATAACACTCGGTTTTAAGTGTAATTATATGATTTAAGCTCCAAGGTTCGGCAAAAATATAAAAATTTATGAATCGATACACGCAACTTCAATTATAAAATAGTAATTAACTAATACAGTTTACATAAAGCTTACAAATCTGAAAATATTCAAAATAATTTTATGCAACGCTAACCAAAATTGTTTATTGCTAACGAAATGTTTTTATCCGCTCATGTGTTTTTTTAGATACATGAACGTTCTGTTATTTTCCAAAAACAATGACATTTACTAACACATACATTAATAACACCTTTGCTATATAGTTTGAATAACATTTATTATATAATGTACAATTAATGTATATTCCTCTATCGTTATAACCTGTATCAACATTTTGCATAATCTCAAAGAGGTTTGTCTAGATAACAGGTACGACGGATTAAAATAAAATATAATAACTGTTATTGGTTAAGGCGCATTGAATGTGGCAAGTTATCCTTTGACACTTGATTTGGTGTATAATCACAGTACGTAATATGATCTTGAAAAAAAACGCAGCATGCACACAGTACAATGGAAAGTCTGCATATTTCTTAGTAAACTGGTTTCAAAAATACAGTATCTTCTTAAAAATAAAAAAAAGTAAAGGTAATAGACTAATTATTAGAAAACAATAATTTCAAAAATATGAAGGATACTTAGGACTGACACAGACCAGTGCAGACAAATTAATAACTTATATTAATAAATAAAGTAAAATTAATAATTTTAATAGTCAATATTTAAAAAATAATCTTCTTCATCTTTGCCTTATACTCTCAACTACATGAGGTCAGTCAAATATTTGAAAAACTTTGAAATCAAAAAAAAATTTTCCCAACAATTAGATACTTGTGAATACTGCATATCTCTTTAGGGGTGAAGAATAAATCTATATTTTGTAATAGAGAGTAAATTCCCTGAGTAATTTCTATTATTATGAAAAATAAAATAATACACACCAAAAATGCCCAAGTTCTCCAAAAATTACTAATATTATTACAAGTCAAGTGAAACAACAATTGTTTAAAAGAAAATTTACAAGTTTAAAATTAATTCTCGGATAAGACCGAACCATATAGAAAGTTCAAAAAAGAGCAAACCAGCAGGGGACATGTATATTGCAAATATTTGTAAGGATGGTGGGGGATGTTAATAAGTTTCCTATTTCCATAAAATAATTTCAATTACTACTAGAGTGTATGATAATAAAAAACTCCTACCTTGTTATGTTAATTTTTATCACTAACCTAATTAAAGGTTAATAATAATGGAGCAATTAGTAATTGTGTAATACAAATAACTGTTATAATGCTAGACAGCGTTATTAAAAAATAATTGTACAAGTATACGTATGAAATGTAGCAGCAAAAACGCTGCATTGCTTCGTTAAAAATAACGATGGCATATTATTATTATTTGCAGATAAGATTACTGATCTATAGACTTACTAAATGAAGAAATCGGATCAGTAGTTTAGGAAATATTGTGGATCTGGACACAAAATAAAAATAAACTAAAACATTACCTTCTGAGCTCTGCACTTAGCTAATATATGATGAAACTTGACTACGGGGTTCAGTCCTTTTTCATTTTAGCCTTATAAAGTACCTCTCAGGTACAATTTCTAAACTAATAACTTACACTACATGAATATGTCGATATATTGTACAGAAAATGTATAGTAGGTCCAGACATAGAAAACAAATAAAATGTTAAAGTGTCTTAAAAGTTCTTTGAGTGTTAAGTACAAGAAAAATACCTTTTCGAGATTCAATATAGCTAATGGCAGGATGTACAAAAAAACAGCAATACAGCATTTTATTGAAATATAAATATTCAATATTTTCAATATTTTATTGAAATTATATTATGAGTAGTCGATAAAATTCTGATTATAGCCCTCAAAGGAAGCCGCTACTTATTGTTATAATTAAAATTCCATTGTTTCACGGGTAAACTTTCATATGTATTGTCATATGATAGATTTAAGATAGGATTATTTGTTCGCGTAAACATATACATCAGAGATAACACGCACGCCGTTATCATTTAGGATACGGTTGTCGTCTATCAAACGCACGCGCCTTTAAATATTACATCTGAATAATTCATAACATTAACTAAAAGTATAAATATTGAATGTGTTTTATTTGATTTCAATGAATAAACACACAACAAAATTAACTAGTAAATAATCAGCTAAAAGTGGCAAATTTTTAACAAAAAACTGTTTTATTTTTATTGAGGTGGACAAGATATAGAATTCACTTGTGTCCAGATTTGTTGTTTGGCAGAATTGTACAACAATACAAAACTGCTGCCAATATATAAAAACTACCGACGTTGTTGACGTTGTTTTATTTAGATCTTTAGACAAGACATTTATTGAACCCTTTTAATAAATATACTCTAATTTAGACCTCCTTATGCATATTAACTATAATTTTAGTGTTTCCATCTTTGCATTTTTTTGAGAGTTGCTTAAACACCTTAATTTAGAGGTTAACATTTTTACTTATTGTTATCGAAAAATACAAAGAATATTTAAAATATTGGACTAAAATTTCATGCAACGTTTGAATATTTTATCCGGCACATGTGTTTTTTAGAAATATGTACGTTCTGTTATTTTCGAAATAACATTACCATTTGAGTCACACTTTAATAACTCAGTTTTAATATAGTTTGAATAACGTTTGATAAATAAAGTATATTATATTCAATTGAATATTTTTTTGACACATAAATTTCCAAATTTAAAAATTATAAATGATTTTAAATAATCAATCCAAAATTTTGATTTTTTTTAGAAAAAAAAGTGTCCTAAAGCATATTTGATATATCTTTACTATTGTATACCACCCTTCTACACATAAAAACATTACAGTTGGTCCTACTTTAACTATGTTTACTATAGAGACACACAAATATCCAGGTGGAACATCTCAATAAAAAGTTGGCCCAACTAAATGTTTACTGAAACAATTTTTATTTAGTTCTTTTAAATAGAATCGTATTAAGCCCTTAAAATAAGTCTTCTTTTATCGGGACCAAGTTTTTAATAACTCTGTATTATTTGAATTTTTCGAATAATTCGAATAGTAATCAAATAATTCGAATATTCGAATTTTCGCATGAAAAAACTAAAAAGAACTTCTTAATCTAAGAGGTAATATTTAATTTGTCAAATTTATGTTTTTTTGAAATTATATATATATATATAAATTGTTAAAATCTTATTTTTTGTAATAAGTAATAATATTTATTATGTCAAAAGAATAATTTGTTATAGTTATATTAATTTTGTTAAAAATTTATTAAAAATAAATCAAGGCCACCTTAGTTGTCTTTTAATTATTTTTTTAAATCTAATTAATCCAGCAAAGAAACTTATAAAATATTTTTTATTTTTTATTCGTTTTTTGAATAACGAATATTCGTGCGAATAAAGTATTCGAATATTCGATTTTTTTTTAATCGAATAGTCCCACCACTAGTTACTAGTAATGTTTTGTAATCTTATATTAACCACAGCTTTAGTTGGACCAACTTTGTATTTTTTTAAAACTAACTTATTTCCTTAATTAATAGGTTAAATAATATATTTAACAATTTTACCTAATGTTATCGAAAATTATCAGAAATATTCGATAGATTGGACAAAAATTTCATACAACGTTTGAATATTTTATCCGGCACATGTGTTTTTTTCTAAATAATGTAGGTTCTGTTATTTTCGAAAAACATTGCCATTGCGTCATACTTTAATAACACATTTTCTATATAGTTTGAATAATGTTTGTTAAATAATGTATAAGATATTCAATTGAATATTTTTTTTTACTCATAAATTTCCAAATTTAAAAATGTTAAATAACTTTAATCAATCAATCAAAAATCAGAATTATTTAAGAAAAAAAGTGTTATTTCCTAAAGCATATTTGATATAACTTTACTATTAAAATTTATACCACCCTCCTACACATAAAACCTTTACAGTTGGTCCCACTTTAACTATGTTTACTACAGAGACACAAAAATATCCAGGTGGAACATCTAAATAAAGAGTTGGCCCAACTAAATGTTTACTGGAACAACTTTTTATTTAGTTCTTTCATATAAAATCGTATTAGGCATCTATAATAAGCCTTCTTTTATCAGGCAGAAATTTTTAATAACTCAGTATAACTAGTAATGTATGGTGACTTTATATTAACAACAGTATAGTTGGACAAACTTTGTATAATATAGAGACTAATTTATCTCCTTAATTATTAGGTTAAAAATATATTAAACAATTCGACTTATTGTTATGGAAAATATCAGGAATATTTTAAATATTGGACAAAAATTTCATGCAACGTTTGAATATTTTATCCGGCACAAGTGTTTTTTTAAAAATTTGTATGTTCTGTTATTTTTGAAATAACATTGCCATTTGCGTCATACTTAATAACACCGTTTCTATATAGTCTGAATAACGGTTGTTAAATAATGTATATTTTATTCAATTGAATATTTTTTTGACTCATATAATTCTAAATTAAAAAATTGTAAATGATCTTAAAAAATCAATCTAAAAATCAGAATTATTTTAGTAAAAAAAATGTAATATCCTAACGC